CAGGGATGGGGTAGAGCTCTCTAAAATTATGGATGGTTTGGGAAAAGGGAATAGGGAACGTCTGATCTCTTGCTCTGTCTCATGACATGAGAAATAAGCCGCACCCAATTAAATTGAGTGCAAGTTTTAAATACAAATAATTTTATTTTTTTTAATACGACGCATGCTTGTGAAACTCATTGCCACAAGGCATTGAGAGAGCCAGTGGCATAATGAGGTCCAGAAAGGGTTTAGATAAAATTTATGGAGAACATTAGTCCATTACAGCCTATTAAATACATTATGTACAAAACAGTCCATTTCATCACATCCTTCCAGCTAGCAGCAGTCCTAACTCCAGGGGTGTTCTGATCCAAAGATGATATCCCTGACTATTGTAACTTATGCTCTTTCTTCTGAAGTTTCTGCTGTTTGCAGCTGTTGGGGACAGGATACTGAGCTAGATGGACTCTTGGTCTGATGCAGTATGTCGGTTCTTGTTCTTGTGACTTCTGGTTCTCACAGTAAGTGGATCAAAGAAGAGGAGGCTGCTCTTCCTCCTCCCTCTGAGCAAGAGCAAATATTACTTTAAGATTTTGTCTCCCACAATAATTTAAACAGCCAAGCCGGCAACAGTCTTGTCCTCCTGTTACTGTCTGCATTTCTTGCATATCTGATAAAATAGCAGAGAAACCTGTTTATATTTAAAACAGGTGTCAGCATTAACACTCATATGTAGCATTTAAAAATACAGCAAGGCATTGGTTTATATTTCCAAAGTTTTCTTTGCAGATCCTAAGGACCAGAAGAAATTCTTAAAGAGAACTTAGTTTCTTCATCATAATTGTGTAGCAATGGGTAGAGTCTCAAACAAATTTCATTACCAGGGACTTCTACTTTAATTTAAAAAAATGATCATTCCAAGTGGTCTCATTTGTTCTAGGCACAGATGTTTTCTGCCCCACATCTCTGGTTCTAGGAAATGGTGTTTAAGACAGGGTTGGGTAGCTCCCAGCACGGGTGCCAGTGTGTGGCATGCAAAGGCCTTTGCTTGGCACTTGCACTTTGGGGCAGACAGCGGGGAAGGGGCCTGGGCTGCGCTGCCACGACAAGATCAGGCCCCTTCTGATTCTGCCACCGTCGGCCCCTGGCATGCCAACATCTTAAATGTCAAGGTTGCGGGTGTTTTTGGTACTCTGCCTGAAAACAGTGCTGACCCCTGGTTTAGGGTTTTTTTTTCCTGCTCTACAGAAAAATCCAGAACTGCACAGTCACATGCATTGGGCTCCTGCATTGGGTACATGTTCCCTTCCCTCTGCATATTATTAAAGTTCATCTCCATAGTTACCACTGTCTTCTTTAGTTTCTAGATCTAATAAGGAGTCCTGCTCATGTTTGCTTATTATTGAGGCTTCCTTCTGTTCAGCAAGCCCTTTCATGTCAGTTTAACGTTTAGATGCTGACTGACCATGTTGGAGGAAAAAGCATGTATTCATTCCCAAAATGGTCAGAGATCTTGGTTCCACATTTTCAGATCTTTAGCATCTTTAACACTTATTCCTGTTTAGTTGGTTGCTGTTTATAAGAAGTTTTTGGTTATGTTTTAAGAATACTTGGCCAGTCTCAGGCTGCTGTACATGCTGTGTAGGTTCTCCAGGAGATTGCTTTTACTGTATGCAATTGGTAGAAATACAACTAGTCAGAAAATGTTTCTCACTCCCATGGAATATTTAGAAATTTAGGGGCTGAATTCAGAAATTTCTGAAATGCTGCTTTGATGTCACACGAGAGCTATAGTTCGGTCCTTCATACTCCAGTTCCCAAAGCTGTTTGGACTACATCTCCCATGATGCAATATTGTCCACCATTTGCCTTCATTGGTAGGATGAAGATTAGTTGCATGACTGAAATGCATCTATGATGCCTCACTAGGGAGCCTAGCTGATATGAGGGTGGGAGTTTGAGTTAATCATTTGATAGCATTTCGGAACGCTCGGGGTTTGGACGAGCATATTTTCTTGTTTGGGCATTCTGGTTTTTTGGCCCACACATTCGATTTCCTAGAGAAAGCAAATACAGAGAGTTTCCTTTTAGCTCAGTGGTACTCAGTCTGCCTGCTCTCATGGGATGAGTGGTGTGGATCCAGTCCACAGGCACACCAGCCCAGCCCCACATGTGGCTTGACCCTCCATGTCAGATGCGACTGCAGAGTGACTCCAAATGCCAGCACAATCTAAGACACAAGGGCCACATCATCTGGCCCACAGGGTTTCCCACAAGTCCAGTAATTTGGCAGGACGGGCATGGCAATTAACGCTGTCACTGCTTCCCCACCACCACATTTCCAGATGCATGGGGTGGCCCACAGGCTAGATGATGCAGTTTTGTGGGCTGGAGGTTGAACATCATTGTTTTAGCCAGATAGTTTTCTGTTAAATTGTTTTAAAGGAAAATGTTGACTAGCCCTAGTGAAAAGCAAATGAAGGGTTAAACACTAAACTAGTTTCTTTGTTACTACCTTTCTAGTTACTGTCTGTATCAGGTATGTCACTGAGCTGGTTCCCTGAATGTCTTCTGGAGTACGGATTTTTCTCCTGCCTGTCGTCGTGTTTCCCCCCCCGATTCAGTCAGTCTGCTTAGATGGCTGTTCAGCTATTTTCTGTTAAGTTTGTTTTGAAAGTGTCTCTCTCTTTCTCCCTCTTTTTAACAGGAAAAAAGCATGTTTCTCCTCTGCTTATTATTAGTTAGATCTATTGGCTTTCAAAGCAAATCTTAGTCACAAAATTTCCTATCTACCCCTGAAGGAAAACAGTCCCCCTCCCTTGTTTTCACAATCGATTATTTAGTTTGCTTTATATAATGTTTTTTTGTAGACTGAAAGAAGTGAAAAACTCAGCTATGTTTTTCATTTTATTTTGAAGATGTGCCTTTTTCCCCCTGTTTATGTAAGCTTTTACATGCTATCTAGTTCCTGTGCTTCTTAAACATTTTGTTTATTTTTAAATGGCTGAGGACCAGGGAAGCGAAGGGATGGATGGCCTGGTTATTGGGGCATTAGTTGTGGACTTGGGATGTTCTAGGTACTGTCATGTGCTGTCAGTGAGACCTGGGGAAGTGGCTTTGCACCTCTACCTAAATGTAAATTGGGGAAAACAGTACTTTCCAGTGTCCCATGGGCATTGTAAGGATAACTACATTCCAGATTGTGAGGTTCTTGGATGTACCAGAAATTTAAACTGGGAGATCAAGTTTTGCTGTTTGTCTCCTGCAACTGACTGATTTCTTGCCTTCTGCTGTCTGGTAGGTGGTGCTGTAACATTTGCTGTATGGACTCTTGTTCTGTAGCATGGGAGAAGAGGAAGGACTACGCCAAGCACAGTTGCTGGTATGTGATTTTCCTTCCTTAAGTGACAATTCGACAGAAATTGAACAGCCAGACACTATTTTATGATGTAGGCTATCAATTTGAAGGAGAAACAAAAAAATGTAAAACATTAGGGGAAAACCCTAGCAAAAACTGAATGATGAGGATTCGTCATTTAAGTTTATCGCGGTTTGCTCTTGTTCCCATTTTTTAATTCTCATATAGAGCACATTAAGGTAGAGTGAGATTCTCTAGTGTTTGTTATTCCACGTACTCTTTCTTATGGTGTTTTCCAGATATCATCTGTTTGAAAACCAACCTATGGGCAGTAAGGGCCTTATTTCTTATATAATGATAAGTTAATAATAATAATAAGCCTCAAATGTAAAGCAAGGAAGACAAAAGAGTTAAGGTGGCATACAAGCTTCGGTGGATAGCCTCAGTAGGCATTGCTTTCTGAAAGTTTACAGTTCCACATACAAGGGTCTGCATGAGGTCCATGGCTATAATAGAAAGTGCAGTAGGTTACAGTGAAGTGCCAGAGACCTGAAGTGTTGATGTAAGTACTCATGATCTGAAAGAGGTGCTAACAGGCCAATGATGCATTGTTTTTTTTACTGAATGTGAAAAAAAATGCCTTGGATTTGTCAGAGCAGTGATTCCCAGGCCTTCCTGGCCCATTGGCAACAGGTAAACTGAGCAGGTACACTCTGCAGGTTACATCATGCATTGCTTTCTCCCTGTCACCCTAAAGAAACATGTATATAGAATGTAAAATTTCTTGTGGCCATGTGCCCCAGTTGAGGATCACTGACCTAAACAGCACAAGAACTTGAGAGGCTCTTAAATCTGCCACCTTACCATGTAGTTTTTAAGTCAGTGAAGATGGTTGTTTAGCACATAAGGAGGAACAAATTAGTCATACATTGGTGGAATTTTGACTAACTAACCACTCATAAAAGGACACGGGGGAGGAAAGCTCCTTCAAAACTTATGCTCAATGTCCAATGGCAATCAGAAGAAAAGCTGAGGTTGGGGTTTACTCAGGGAAGTAGAGAATAGTATTGTAAAGGTCGTTGTAAAAATGATTCTGCATGGTTTTTTTTTTTTACTTGTTTAGTTTGCTTGCCTCCATCTTGAATAAAACAACAGATGTATCAGGGAGGCAATGATTTTTAATCAAGGAGATTTAAAACAGCATTTCTCAACCTGTGGGTCGTGACCTAAAAGTGGGTTACAAGAGTATATGAAAGGGTTGCAAACAATCACAGAAAAACTTGGAAAATCTGTAGGTTTTTCCTTTTAAAGGAGAAAAACATGGGAAATGACAGGTTTCCTCTTGTAGGCTGGCAGAGTTCCAGCTTGCTTGGGGCTGGGGGAAATGGGAGGAGGGTGATCATGCAGAGGGTACCACCTGATGTGCATGCACACACATACTGGCAGGGAGCTGTTCTCTATGCTGCCTAGCTGCCATGAGTAAGTCTGGGGGGGGCAGCGGCATAGACAATGTGTTTTGGGGATGGGGGGGCACAGGTGATACATTGGGAGACACATGCCCCCCTAGATTTGTGCACCCACACCAGGCATGGGACTGCAGCCTGGCTGGGACCAGTACAGGCAGGAGCTGGCTCAGTGGCCAGGACCCGACGTAGGGAGGGCAGAACAGGGTGGTGGGACTGTACAAAGAGTAATGGATGGAGGCGGTACCATGCTGCCCTCACCTCCACTCACTGCCACCACTCCTCTCAGGCTGTGACTGTACCCCAGAGAGGAGGTGGGGTAGCGGGCAATCTGAGGGGAGCAGCTGTGGCCAGGCCATGGCAGCAGGGTAGAGCTGTGGCCTAGTGTGCAAGCAGCTGGCAGCGGGAAGAGGTGAGGGCAGTGCACCCTGTCCCCACAGTCCATAGACCTTTATACCTTCCTTAGAAATCTCTTGTCCCACATTGGCTTTAGGTGTAAGCTCGTATGACAGTTTTGTAATGTTTTTAAGTTTCCAACTATTGCTTTGCTTTATTTTCCAAATGAAAGATTCTGAAACTTTTGTCACAGTTTTACTTGTGATTTCCAACTTATTAGGTCATTCTGTTGTGTTAAAGAGCCTCTTTTTTTTTTTTTCTTTTCCCCCCATAATAGGACACAATGTTTGTGCGAGGATTAAAAAGAAAATGTTTTGATGGTGAAGAAGATATTGAAGGGACGCTGGCTGGTTTTAAAGCTATTCCTTCATACAATCTTCAGCGACAGTCACTTTTAGATATGTCTTTGGTAAAACTTCAACTATGCCACATGCTTGTTGAGCCTAATCTTTGTCGTTCGGTACTGATAGCCAATACAGTACGGCAAATCCAAGAGGAAATGACTCAAGATGGGACTTGGCAGATGATAAATACGCAGAATGCAGGGCATGCTTCCCTAGACCGCTTGGTTTCAACCGATATACTATGTCGTTCATCCAGGGAACAAACTGAGGGAAAGCACGGTCCAGGTTATAGTACCTTCCCTAAAGACTTTGAGGAGACCCAGTCACAAGATAGTTCAGAAATTATGTCAACGGTTTCTTCAGGACAAGCTCCAAGAAATCTGCAAAGTAACATGTGGGAAATGGAGAGCCCACAAGAAAATAGAGGAAATTTTCAAAAATCATTGGATCAAATATTTGAGACGTTAGAGAACAAAAGCCCAAATTCTGTTGAAGATCTGTTTTCAGAGGTTGATAATTCTTACTACGACCTTGATACAATGTTAACGGGAATGATGAGCAACACCAAAATGGGACACTGTGATGTACTTGAAACATTTCCTTCTCAGACCACCACAAATTCTAACTCTAACTGTAAATCTGATCTTAATGAGCTTGACCACATTGTGGAAATTCTTGTTGAATCTTGAAACCGCTACCTATGTAGAAGAGAGAGAGAGAGAGCTCCTTCAAGGAAGTAAAGGACTTACGGAAACACTTTTCCCAATAGTTTATTCAAGCAAATCTGTACGTGTATTTTACAGAAATATATATGAGCACTTCATATTGCAAAATATTGTTAACTTTTAAAGTTAACATGCAGTTTGTAGTGTGAGAATTCTAGTTAATTGTTTGTTGAACTGTAAGTACATACCATAAACATTTTTTTTTTTTTTTTTAAGTTGGAGTCCAGGGTTTTCCAGATTGGACTCCCTTGCCCACCTTGTAGTTTTTGAAGAGTGTGTGTTCATTAAGAGTGTTGCTTTCATCATCATCTCCACCCTACCCCCACCCCCAATTCTAGAAAAGGCGAGAGTCGTACAGAGTTTGGGTAACCAGATTTTTCTTTTACCTCCTGATTTTTGAACTAACACTTCCTATTTTTTAGGACCACCTCATTCCCTCCTTGTCTGCCTCCTTTGTTCTACCTGCTGTTGCCCATGGCTTTCGGAGCAGTATGCAGTAGTCACCATTATCCTAGCTAGCTGCTTCTGTCTTCTTCCAACAGTTTTGTTTCTTTAAATATAATTTTAAAGTATTTGTCAACATTTAGATTTTTCCAGCTATTTTCCTAAAATATATTTTTACTACAGATGTGCTATCAGCTGCTAATTTAGTAACTTTTGATCATAAATATTTGCAGTTGATGTATTTTTGAAAGACTTTCAAGAAGGGATTTGGTTTTTTTTTACCATGAGCTACCTTATGTAGTTCAGCAAAGTGTATGTAAATATCAATATACAATTTTATACTTTACATTAAAATGTAAGCGCTGTTTTCATGATTCTGTTTTTATAGAGTAGTACTTTACTAAACTGAGGATGGTACAATGATGCTTTTTATACAACTTATACTTGAGTGTCATTACAGGGAGAGCCCTGATCCAGCTACATGCAATTACATTTAATTCAGTTCAAACCATGTCTTTGTTATCTTCAGACCTAAATTATGTAGGGTTTTTATTTATGTGTATTTATATGTAAATGTCATCAAATGAATTGTTTATCACTGAAGTCTACCATCAAATATTTGTTTGTGGGAAAACTATCTTGCACTAATTACTATAAAAAGTGTTGCTAGGGGCCTTGAAATATCTACTAGTGTGTTCTAATGTCTTGCCTAAATTAGCATGCTCCACTCTTACCAAGGTTTTCTGGTCAGCTTATTTTTTTGAATAACAAGCAGTATATGGAACGTTGAATTGCATTTCATTTCTTTAAGGATGTTCACACATTCGTTTTAGAGTGTGTAATTCATTTTGTTTCTAATATCCACTTTTGGAGGTGGATCAAATAACATGATTTTACTATAAGGTGGCTTCTTTTTTAAAAGCTGTTTTGTTGCTGGAACCTTTTGACATTGGCTGCCTGGGGAGCAGAGATTGCAGATAGTTAGGTTGTTTCTATGGAAGTGTATCAAGGGACCAACTACATTGTGAAAGGAATAAACTTTGCATTTAACAAATGTTTTGCCTTCCTGTAGGTGACCTTACCTACTTCATATTTCTCTTTAGGATTCTCAAATCCCTCAGTAGTTAGTTTTAGGTACATTCTGGTTCCTTGCTTCCACAGGTTACCTATAAACAAATAAATGTCCGTCTTTAACTTACTGTTTAAGTGTTTTTGAAACAGCTGGTTGAAAAATAGCATTGCATAATTAAGTTTTCTAAACTTGGTAGATAGCTGCATATTTAACTCCATTATGTGTCAAACTTTGCAGTTTGTATAAGTGAGATTTTGTGAACTTTTAAAATATTTTTTGTATTAAACTTGGACATGAAGTGACCTTTATTTGCTTAGCTGTAAAACATTACTTCCATAACTCCAAGCTAATAGCAAGTTTATCTTAAATTAGCAGGGTGACGTACCACATGAAAATGTGCAAGGAAAATGCATATGATGCAGTGAGACTAAAACAAAAAAAAGTACTGGACAATAATAGCGTGACTATTTAGGAATTTCTAAATGAGGAAATTTCATTTCTATACACACTCTGGAAAACCTTTTTTTTGAAAAGCAGAATGAAGTGGGGGGAATCTTTCCTTGTAAATGACAGAGTGCTCTCCCATATATCCGTGCATACGAGCACTATAAGCACTGATTTACAACAGCTCTTTTTGGGAAAAAGGTGCATGTTTTATATGTGAGAGAATACTGTACTGGATCAGCAAGATAATTAAGAGCGAATGATGCAGTAGGTAATCTGGTAAGCAAAATACATCTGTCATCATCTTTCTTTCTCTTTCTCCTCCTGTTGTTTTTAAACTGTCTTTAAAACAAAAACCTATGTTTTGTCTTGCAATTAGTGTTTGCTTGAAGCATCAACAGTGATAATAGCTTTTTTCCTAAAATCCAGTGATGCCTGGGTCCTGTAGCCCTGGCAGTAGGGGGTGTGCAGGCCGGCTCCCGATCTCGGGGGCGACCCGGGCCTGTCTTTGTGCACGCAGGCTGTGGCCAGCAGCCCGGGCATGCGGGGCAGGAGAAAACCGTGGCGCGGTATGGTACGCTCGAGCTACAATCAGTCACGGAGGCGTAATGCTTGATTGAAAAAGATTATTTACTTACACCCAAGGTGGTCGCGGTGTAGGCTGGTCAGCTTTCCAGGCGCAGCTCCGCTTGAGTTCTCGTTGGAGGACTCTAATAGACTCGGTTCCTTGACCCCAGAGTGGTTTAGGCTCCGCGGGTTTAACAATTCTCTCTCACGGAGCAGCTGAATCTCCGTGGGTTTTGTTCGGTTCCCAGGTCCCCTGGAGCTGTTAAGACTCCGTGGGTTCGAAAATTGGGTCCATAGGATAGGGATACGTCTAGGGTTGCAATCGGCAACGGGGAGAGGCTAGAGGTTATTGGCCCCGGAGTTGTTAAGGCTCCGAGGGTTCGGTAAATAGGTCCCCTGGAGTTGTTGAAGCACCGTGGGTTCGGCAAATTAAACCTCTGTTGCCCTCTTAAGGAAAAAGCTGGGTTCGAGAGGATCAGCAGCGCTTAGAGATCTTCACGCTCTTTTCCCGAACTCCACGTGCTTTCTCTCTCTCCGACTTGGGTGGAAACTATCCAAGCCTTTTGTACGGCTAGCAAGCCAATAGCTAGCCGCCACGTGTGCCTATATTAAGATTG